TCCAAGATCGAGGAGTTGGTAAGGTAACTTCTCTCTGAGGGCTCTCTCCTTGGCTTGGAGGCAGCCACCTTCCCTCTATATCTTCACATGGTCTTTCCTCTGTGTGTGTCTTTGTCTTAATCTCCTTTTAAGACACCACTTATATCCTATGAGGACACCATTTTTATTGGAATAGTGTCCACCCTACTGACCTCATTTTAACCTAATTACCTCTTTAAAGGCCCTGTCTTCAAGCACAGTCATATTCTGAGGCACTAGGGGTTAAGATTTCAACATATGAAGTTTGGGGAGACATAATTCAGCCTAGAACAGGTGAAAACTTCAAAATATTACATATAAAGAAGTTGATAACAGTGATTGGCACCATGGCAGGTTGGGAAGCCTGGGAGGTCAGAGGAAGAGTTACCTTTCATTGTATACTTTGTATCATTTGAATTTCGTTACTGCATATATTTAATACCCAGTCCTATATAATAAAAGCCTCACCTGATGTCGTCACAAGATGGCCACCACAAGATGGCTGGTAGGGGAGGGCAGTTGGGGGCCATCAGGCTGGCAGGGGAGGGCAGTTGGGGGCAATCAGGCCAGCAGGAGAGCAGTGAAGCATCGATTAGGCCGGCAGGGGAGTGGTTAGGGGGCAATCAGTCTGGCAGAAGTGTTTAGGGGGGAATCGGTAGGCAGGCAGGCCAGCAGGTGGGAGCCAGCAGTCCCGGATTGTGAGAGGGATGTCTGACAGCAGCAGCCAGACATCCCCTGAGGGGTCCCAGATTGGAGAGGGTGCAGGCTGGGCTGAGGGACACCTGCCCCCGCCCCCTCAGTGCACGAATTTTGTGCGCCAGGCCTCTAGTCAAACATAAAAGGAAATGATTGCATGTTTATTGCCCATCCTTGAACTTAACGAATATCTAGTGAATAAAATGAGCAGAAACACAGTGTAACAGTTCACTGTGCCTTTGGGACATGGATCTGGCATCCCTGCTTAGTACAGGAATGGTGTCTGCCTAGCTCAGTGGTCGGCAAACTCATTAGTCAACAGAGCCAAATATCAACAGTACAACGATTGAAATTTCTTTTGGGAGCCAAATTTTTTAAACTTAAACTATATAGGTAGGTACATTGTTATTTACTTAATTAGGGTACTCCTAAGGCTTAGAAAGAGCCACACTCAAGAGGCCAAAGAGCGGCATCTGGCTTGCGAGCCGCAGTTTGCTGACCATGGGCCTAGCTGTTCCTTGTGTAACTTATTTTGAAAAAACTAGTCTCTCCCCAGTTAATTGCAAAGCCACCAGGCCCGGACAAGGATTACCTCATTTTATCCTGGGACCTGGCACTCAGATACCTGCTGTGTGAATGAATGAATCCATCGATGATTCCCATGGGTGGAGAAGCTTTGGGAATGACCTTTCTGATGTGGTCTTCCCATCGCAAGTGGCAGGGAGGGCAGTGCATGGGGGAGTGGTCTATGTTTTTTTAAAAAATATATTTTATTGATTTTTTACAGAGAGGAAGGGAGAGAGACAGGGAGCCAAAAACATTGATGAGAGAGAAACATCAATCAGCTGCCCCCTGCACACCTCCCACTGGGGATGTGCCCACAACCCAGGTATGTGCCCTTGACCGGAATCGAACCCGGGACCCTTCAGTCCGCAGGCCGACGCGCTATCCACTGAGCCAAACCGGTCTCGGCTGTTTTTAATAATTTAGTAAGCTAAATCATGACCAAAGCTTCAAGAAGACACCGTTTACTCTAATCTGCCCTCTTTTTTGTTGTTTGTAAAGGAAAAGAGTCTGCCTTCTTTGGGGTTCTTTTTAAACAATCTAAAGTCTCTCAACACTATATGCTGTTCTATATTTTAAAAAGAGAGGTAGTTATGAGGCAATGGCATGCACCCTAAGCAGGCTTCTTTCGCAAATCCACCAACCCAAGTTCCCTTTTCTGTCTCTCAGTTTAACTCCAATGCCCACCTTCTTCCCTAACAGTGCCTCTCACCTTTTGTTGATTTAGGCCTGGGGTTTTCATGGCCTCTCTGACTTTCCTCAGAGAGCGCTAGACCACCTTTTAGCTCCTTTCTGAGAGTCTGCAAGAGGGACAGAAAATGTGGCTTGTTACTGTCCCCTCAGGGGCATGTTGGGAGCTCGACCAGGTCCTGAAGACATTTCAGCGCTTGGGAAAACCGGGTCATGTTGAAATCAGACAGTTCAGATCATGCCAAGCGTGAGCTGTTAATTGGAATGAATGAATGGATAATGAGATTGGCCCCACTGACTCTCACACAAGCAGGCAGTTCTCCCAAGAAGCGGACGGAGCAGGCTAGGGCACGTGGGAGTGCAGGCCTGCCTTTCTGTGGCATTTGGTACGAAGCACACCAACAATTTGTGGTGCTCTCTTCCACACAGCAGCTTCCTGCTGGGTCTGGAGGCCCCCTCCAATCCTACCTCCATTTGGCTTCATCCAAACTGGGAGGCGACCAGATGCCTGCGTCACTGAGGACCCCCAGAAGCAGCATGTTTGTGCTGAAAGCTGCAACATGTTTCTGCTCTTAAGAGTAAGCGGCAACGTATCACATTCTTAGCGTTCAAATTAATGAAAGGTGACGAAAGGTGAATGCCATCTGCCCTTACCTGTGAGAGACAGGGGTTGAGGACAGACTTATGCACCATGGTTCTCATCACAGTGGTTTTCCTTGGCTAGATTAACCCATTGGGATATTTGCACATTTCCCCAACAGAAGTGACAGATCAGCAAAAGGGAATTCTCCATGAGCCCTTTTAAAACGGCATTTGTAAACACCAAAATTAAGATCAGAAGAAGGGGAGTTTAGGACAAAAGAAAATTAAAAGTGAATAACTGACATTCTAGAGCCGCACGTGGCTCGCGAGCCGCAGTTTGCCGACCACGGAGTTAGAGCAATAACTGACATTCTTACAGCTAATATAATAAAGTTAGAAAATGTGTGGCAAGACTCTACAACTTGCTTGAGGGCAAGAACCAAGTGTTTATCATTTGCCATCATCTTCTAGTATCTAACAAACTGAGTCCTCTACACATTTTAATTCAACAGAATCCCTTTATTTGTGTCCTCTGTTCAGAGCCAAGTCACCTGAGGCCCCTCGTGGAATCTCTGGGACAGCCTTCACTTTGGGGAAATGTTAGATGCTGTGATTGATGGCAATGACACTTCAGGCACTAACGTAAAGTTTAGAAAGAATCAAGAAATCTTTCATAGTTGGCTTCCATGCTTACTTATAATCAGGGAAGAGTGGCCAGCTCCGGGAAGTCTATTACATTGGCTACTGAGGGGAATTCAGAATCAAATTAGAAAAATCCTCAAAAAGAAATGGCAAATGCTAATGCTCATTTAGCATGGACCAATTGTACCACTGGCACAGGCCTTGTGGTATTTGGTACAAGTAAAATACAGGGTGGGCAAAAATAGATTTTCAGTTGTGAGTACTCAAATATTCTTGTACTAATATGTATTATATTTTTTTCTATATGAACAACTGTAAACCTACTTTTGCCCCATCCTGTATAATCCATCTGATAGAATTCTGGAAAAATGATGATTCATTTAAAAATAGCTTATCATTGTAGGCTTTAACTCACAGAATCAGGCACTACTTAAAAAGAACACGTGTCTAAAAAAGAGTCCAATGGGATTAAATCTTTTTATTGTTTTATTTTAAATATGTTTTTATTGATTTTTAGAGAGGAAGGAAGAGGAATAGAGAGATAGAAACATCATTCAGCTGCCTGCTGTATGCCCTCTACTGGGGATCAAGCCTGCAACCCGGGCATGTGCCCTGACCGGGAATTGAACTGGTGACCCCTTGGTTCATGGATTAATGCTCTACCACTGAGCAACACTGGCTGGACTGATTGTTTTCTTAAAAAGAAAACAATCAGTAGTAAAAAATGTGGTAGGGAGCATGATCCAGGATTGCATGTGTTACTGAAAGTAAGGAATATGGTGATTAAACTAAAAGGGTAGAAATATAAGCAAGTATTGGACCGATTCCCAATGGAAATACTGTTCAAATGGTGTGGAAGGTCGATTGGATTCAATTCTGGGGTTTCAGTTTTGTGGATAGGTTTCTCACGTTTTTGAATGATAGTCACCTAGCAAATCTTTTTTATTTTTCCTGGTCATCAGTTACTGTAGAATAAGGAAGATGATGTGGATTCTACAACATCAAGAATTGACCAGCCAGCTTCATGCCCAAAGCTATCAAACCTGGTTCTTAGAATCCACGTTTGCAAGTCTGGCTCTTTGTTTAGAAAAAGAAAAAAAAAAATCAATAGGGAGACACTTCCCCATCCCCAGTGAAGACTAATGGGCATCAGTCTACTACTTAGTATCTTGTTGAGAAATTTGTGAACAACTGAAAGCGTTTATCTGACCAGCTGTGAATTTAGCACCCAGGGTTTGATTCTTAAAGTGAGGGGAATAACTTGGAAATTGTGAGCTTCCCTTTACTCTGTCACCACACAAAATCAACCATCGCAACCACATCTGAGTAAGAGGGAGAGGCCTCTGCTCAACAAAGTTAACACCTTTCTATTTCTTCCTTTCCCTTCCCACAAACACACTTTGGCCTACTTTATCCCAGCACAAAGCAGATGCGCTGCAAATGTTAGCAGTCTGGTCCTACTAATAACCGTGGTGGGAAGTCCAGGCGAAGAATGTGTTGTTTTCACTAATACTGCTCTTCCAATCTCAGACGATAAAGTGCCAGCTAATGACCCCCTGGGTGCTGGGCTTTCCCTGGGGCCTGCTTAAATACACAAAACCCAAGTGAAGGCAGGACACCATTAGCACTACATAATTCAAGCAAACAAATGTGTTTACACTGCCTGGCTACTGACCACCTGCCTTCCTGACCCACGAGGCAGGTATCTATATATGGGATCTGATCTCCTTGTTCACAGTCCTGGGGAGGGAGCCTCTCCTTTGGGCCTCGCCATCTGTGAGTCTGAAAGAAGCTTGGGCCCCGACATCATGCATCTCCTCTTACTTCAGCTGCTGGTGCTCCCGCCACTGGGGAAGGCTGCGTGGCCCCAGGATGGCGGCCAGAGTCAGAGTTCTGTTCCCTCTGTGCTCCTACTAGAGAGGAGTCCCAGAGAGCTTCCCCTGGGCAACCACGGGGAGGCTGAGGAGAAGCCAGATCTGTTCGTAGCCGTGCCACACCTGGTAGGTGCCAGCATTTCGGGGGGAGGCCGGTGGCAGAGAGAGAAGATGCTATTCAGGTTTGGCAGGTTCTGGAAGAAGCCTGAGAGAGAACTGCACCCAACCCAGGACCCTGTCAGTGAGCAAGGCCCACCTGGGACCCAGGCCCTTCCTCAGTCCAAGGCTGGGATGCAGATAAAGAAGTCTCCTCTTCAGGAAGAAGCCAAGAGATTCTGGCACCGCTTCATGTTCAGAATGAGTCCGGCTTCTCAGGGGGTCATCCTCCCCATCAAGAGCCACGAAGTGCACCAGGAGACGTGCAGGACCCTGCCTTTCAGCCAGGTATCTGTTCTGGGGGGAGAGGGGATCAGGGTGTGCAGGGCGCAGGTGGACAGTTGGGGCAGATGGGGAGGAGGGGAAGAGGAGCTAGTCTTACATAACTCCCAGACTTGGTCCTTGGCCATACATCCTGGGATTTGGCAAAATACGGTCATATTTCCTAAATTTCCTTCGAAACTTTCCATTGTTTCTTGGTATTCTGCAGACGCTGCAGGAATGGTTTGATTGTCCTGCCAATATTAGGAATCATTCATATTGATGGCATACAGTATTGTTTTATTTCTTTATTTTTACAAGGAGGATGGTCTTCCCAGAGAGATAAGACTGCACCCTCAGTTAGGAAACTGAGAATTTAGAGCTATCACCAGAACTCTCTCTAGTTATGTCTCTACATTCTATTAGAATGTGGGCGATCAGGTCAGCTCCATCTGTGGATAAGGTGGAATACATTGGTCTCATCCCCAAACACTTTCATGCCCATTTGATGGTCTTAATCCCTGTATTTCACATGTAACTACTTCATAGGTCTATAAGATATGTTGAGGTTGTCAGGCATAAGTTACCATATCATTTCTAGTACTACCATAGCAAAAATGACTTAATTTATTTTCTCGTAACCTTTTAAAAAATAATCTCAATGTGAAATCACATTTTCTCCCCTTAGTAACACCCATCTCCTCCTTGATGTTGTATTGGTTGATTTGTAGTTATCATGATTGATTGATTGATTCCATGCTATTAAGACAAAGGGGCATTCTACTCTCTACTTCCTCCAGTCAGTCCTGACAACCTCCATACTCCAAATTTTAAATTTAAATTGAGAAATTGCATCAGGTCCTTTATGTTTATAAAGATACTGAACCAAAAGCAATGCAGGGTAAAGTTTTACAGCCCAATAATCTTGCCTAATTAAGCAGGCAGTACTATAAGGTAATTGGGTGTGCAAGGCAGTTAAGTATTCTGCCTAAAACGGTAAGGGTATGTAGCAATAGCAAGTAAACCCTCAAATAATACTGACTGCCTTGTTGGTCATGTGCAATTAGAAAACTGCTCCTAAGAATTGTGTAATCAAGTTTCCTTTGAAACTTTTATTTTAAATTCTATTGCTGATTAAATTCAAATTAAGGTGTTTCACTCTTGCATATTTTGAAGGCCACATAAAGCTAGGGGTTTGGGGTTACGGGAGAGGCAAAGGTGATGTCATGCATGATGATTTGTGAGCATATGTGTTGCAACTTCAAGGACTTGAATGTACTATAGGCGCTGCGGAATGGGATAGAATTAGACTCATGATATCCTGATCTAGTGTATGAGCAATTGAACAACATGCATTGAGAATCTATTATGCACAATGCTCAGTGAGGAGTAGAAAGGCAAGGCACATTCCTTACTTAAGAAGCCAACTGCTAGAATATTTTTTACTGGTAACATCCAATTAGACAGAATTTCTTAAAGTTTGGCTTTTAACAAATAGAGTAACATATTTTCATATCAACTTAAAGATTTCTTACAGGCTAATTTATTATATTACTCAGTAGAATAAATATTTAGTTGAGGTGGCTTTTTGCCCTTATAGATACGATTACTTGGATTTGGGCAAACATCAAAAATTAGAAAGATTTTGAAATTTTAGTCTAGCTTATCCTCAGACCTGCAGGCTATAGCACCTGCATCCTGTGTGTTAATGAAATGACACAAGATGATTTAATAGAGATGTGTTTGCCTTTCAGACGGTCGCCCATGAAGATTGTGAGGAAGTGGTTGTACAGAACAACCTTTGTTTTGGGAAATGCGGGTCTGCTCGTTTTCCTGGAGCGGCACAGCACCCCCATACCTTCTGCTTCCACTGCTCGCCCGCCAGGTTCACCACAATGCACTTGCCGCTGAACTGCTCAGGCCTCGCCCCCGTGGTCAAGGTGGTGATGCTGGTGGAGGAGTGCCAATGCAAGGTGAAGGAGGAGCACCACGAGCATGGACACCTCCTACAGGCAGGCTCCCAGGAAGAATTCCATGCCCAGGAGCCCTTTATCCCAGGGGTTTCAACTTAGAAAGCAATCCCACAATTACCTAGAACAGCAAAACCACAATAGCCAAGTTGCTGATGATTCAGTCTGGAAGTATTCAGTGGGTACATAATCTTTCAACTGAAAGGTGGTGAAAAAGTAGTAAGATAGAACAACTTGGAGGAAATGGTATTCATCTGGTTATCAGTACCAAATGGTATCTAGTTTTGACTCTGCTGAATACTAGCCATGGAATGTTAAGTTGTGGAAGCTTTCTCCACCTGGAGCTGTTCATCTATAAATGAGGGACTTGAACTAGATGATTCTAAAGTCCTTTTCACTACTAATATTTCAATAATGATCCACTGTCCCCAAGTTTTGGTAAAATCCCTCCCTCTGAAGGAGGAAAAGAAATAAACTAGATCATAAAACTAGGCTTCTTTAATAGCTCGTGAAAGCACCAGCAAACGTATATACACCTAACATTCACAGGAGGATTCCTCATATTTATAGCTGCCTTTGCATTTCAGGCAGTAGTTTATTTGACTTCTATCGGATGATTAAGTCGTTCCACAGATGTAAGGAGTAACTTGTTTGGTTTGTCTGCTTATTTTTGATACTCCCCATATAAAGTTCTCTGGTTTTGAAGAGGAACATTGATGTTACTTTTAGTGCTTTCCACGGAGATGAGGAACAGTCATGGGTAGCCAAACAAGTACCTATTTTATGGGGAAGGAAAAATAGGTAAATCCAGAATTAAAGGTCAATTCAGAGATGCTAATGAATGTAACCAAGAAATTCCAGTAGATGTCGAATTAAATAAATGGCAAATGATTTAGAATGGAAACAAATCTATAAGTGAAATCCTTTAATCCGCATGCATTTTGGATTAAAGAGTAAGGGTTCAGTGTTTGGATGACTGTTTTTTGCTACTGTATAAAACTTTGTATTACAAATCTTATTCTTCAAATGGCACAATTGCAAGTTCTGAAAATATTCAGAATATTTTAGTGTATTACATTTTAGTGTATGAAGCATTCTGGGAAATGTCATGACATTCGATTGCCTTATATTATGTCCTATTTGTTTTGTCTGTTCCTAATTTGAAGGCACTATCTGGAGATTATCTAGCTAGAAACAGTTTGGAAATGGCTTTCAAGGCTAATGACAATGGCTTTTTCTGACACTTCAAACAGCTTCCTGTGAAGGTCCTTCAAACACTGTCTTCTGCGGTTGTATTTGTTCTGCATTTGTTACTTTATATGTACGTAGTATGCAAAACTGGCTTTCTCTAGCCATCTTTCCTCTTCTATAATCATTCTTTAACAATTTACCTTAGACATTATTTTAATTATTTGGATCCCTTTGTGTTCAGTATGCACATAAAAAAAGTGTTTCCCAGAATAATGATTATTTTCTTTTAAAAAAGAAATCAATGCATATTTTAATTCTATTCCTCTTTGCTCACACTGTCCTGGTGTTCTGAAGAAGTGAATGCATTTATATTTAGTGTATATTCTACAACACATCAATATAATAAAATATGTGCTATACAGATACACATGTGGCATTTACATCGGAATATATTATACCCTTTGGTAGGCAAAGACAACCCAATTGACCAAGATATGGTCATATGAATAGAACTGTTAAGCGTTAATGATATCCCAGCTGGTCAATATATTTTGGTGCCAAAAGCTATTGAGCAGCTGTCTGGTTTGCAATTGCCTAACCCTGATTGTGTAAACCTGTCTCTGCCAATTGAACTACCCTTCTCCTCCTCACACATTTGCAAATCCCTTTTATCTATCCTTGCAAATCAACTCGCTAGCCCAAGTCCCAAACAGTCATCAGCTTTATTTAAACTCTAGTCTGCCTTTCCCTCACATGTGAATCCAAGATGAGATAGCTGATAGTGGTATCAGAGCTTACATTCATAGAGTAACAGCATGAAACTCATAAAGTTGCCCATATTCAATCATTTCACTTATAAAAAAGGGTAATTTTCAATGGTTCCACATAATATATGGGAATATAGGAAAACAAGAGGAAACACACAAAAATCGAATGTCTAAGTGCCAGATACCGTGCTGGGTCATAAACATACAAATTATACATTCCTCACGAAATCTATCTATTTGATAGGTGAGGAAAATAAGCCTTAACATTTTTAAGCAACTTGGAGTATATTTTCTACTTGTATTAAAATATTTGCTCATTCATTGTCTATCAATTTATATTTAACTCTTCTAGGTCTCATGACTATAAGTCTCAAAGCTAATTTCTTTTTACCTCTTTCCTAGCTCTCATGATTAAAGGACATTAATATTACCTCTTGAAAAGGAAATCATGCTTAGGTCTGGTCCTCGGACAAGCGTTGTCCTGACTTGAGAGGTGGTCATGGCAAGCCCACTCATCAATTTTTGTCTCATTTTTCTCCTGATTAAAATAAGGCTGATAATGATTTCTTCAAAATTATTGTGATGACCAAGTGCAACTCATAGCACATTAGAGAGCTGTACATCCTGTTTAACTACAAGAAATTAATTCATTCTTCTCCATCCAGACATTTAAACCGATTTTTGTTTTGAGAATTAAAAAAAAAAACAACAAAAAACAAGGTATTTATTTATTTAATTGTGGGTGGTTTTTGTTTGTTTGTTTTTTTGTTTTTGTTTTTTAAGAGAAAGAGGGAAACATCGAGTTGTTGTTCCACTTATTTATGCATTCATTGGCTGATTCTTGTATGTGCCCTGACCAGGGATGGAACCCACAACCTTGGCCTATCAGGATGATGCTCTAACCATCTGAGCTCCCTGCCAGGACTTGTTTTGACAAATTTAAAAGACAGAAAAATGCAAAGAATAATATAACACTTAAATTTTCACTACCAAAATATTTAATATTTTTTTATCTTGTGTTTCTTATCTATTTTTAAAAGAAATAAACAATTTCACATGTAAGTAAAGTCCCCTCTAACCACCATGCTGAGTCCCATCCCCCAAACCCTGACCCTTCAACACCCCCAACCCAAATATTCCTGTTTATAATTCTAATATCCTTTTATATTTCTGCAAAGGTGAATACCGCCATAAATAATACAGTATGATTTTTGGATATATGTTCTTCCTTCAGCAGGTATTTATTTGTTCACCAGCTATGTGCAAGATGCAGCTATGAATATAGCAAGGAACCTGCTCTGAGTGGAAGGAGACAAGTAATTTGAAAATCAATCAATTCAGCGATCAGTCAACTGAACAGGCCAAATATCTGATAGCTATAAGTGCAATGAGTTTTTATTACATACATGATATTCTATATGAATTGTTCTATAATTATTTTTCCACACAGGATTCAGGCTTGTATTTATAAGTTTTTAGTTTTTTTAGATATATTTTATCTCTATTCTAGAAACTTGGCATTAAGTATTTCCTATAGAGAGTGATTAAATTAGCTTTGATGATTTTTTTTATATTCATAGTCTCTTTAATCTATCAATTTAATTCCTAATTAAGAATGTCCTGTATCATCTAAATGTTTAGATTATTTATTCTATACAATACCCTGTGCTGAGAACTCTGGGATAATCAAAGGTAAAGGGACTTACATTATAGTAGCAGAGGTAATATATGGAAATTATAAATCAATAATGATAGTAATAATAGTAATAACTACTAATTACCAAGTCTTTACTCCAAGTTCAAGTGCTTTATATTCCTCATCTCATAGAAATAGGCATTTTTTTTACCCACTTTTTTTGACAAGGGGAGTGAGAGTCAGTGAGCCTCATTTATTTAGTTCCAAAATATTTATAATTGTGTTGAGCCTGGTTGCTGTGCTGGATACAAAGAATATAAATAAATAAATATATGATTATCTGAATATAATTTCTGATTTTAAGAAGTTTACAGTACAAGAACAAGTAACAATGCATTTGTGTCTATAAAGCTAGAGTGATGTTTCCCCCTACCACACCTCAACACCAACTCAAGCGCCACTTGCCCAGTGAGTCCTCCTTAATCCCCAGACAAGGTCAGATTCACTTATTCTACAATTTCATGATGCTACATACCTTCACTTCACAGCACTCATCTCAGTTTATAATTATACCTTTAGCTGCATCATTATTAGTCAAATTGTAACCTCCATAAAAGCAGGAATTATATGGAGTTTCTTTTACCACTATAATCAATGCAATGTAATCAGCACATTATAGGTACTCAAGAAATATTTTTGTCTGCATAAAAGAATGTCAACAGATATCATATGTTGAAGGTATACATGTTTTAGGTACTGTGCCAAGAACTTTATATACATCATTTCATTTAACCTTCATGAAATCCTATGAGGTAGGGATTACCATATTATTTTATAGAGGAAGATGAAGATCATATAAATGAAATTACCTACCTAAATACTACTGCTGCATAGTAGCAGAAGTTGAATGACTTCAAGGTCCTATATCTTTCTTACAATGCTGCAGTGCCTCAAGATAGCAAAAATAAAAAATATATATAAAAATAAATATCTATATATATAAAAGCCAAGTGACTGGAACTGCAGAATGCCCAGAATGACCTGAGTGACAGCTTGCGATGATGTTCACTGCAATGGCCAACCAGCCTGATGGGGGCCCCGATCCCCCCCCCC